AAACATGTGAAATAAATATATTTTACAACGTTTTCTCTATCGTTGAAGAAAACATTTACTTTCTATATATAGTCATTACTATGAAAGTAAAAATAAATTGTCAAGATGACCTGTCAATTGACGGTTTGATGATTATTGTACTAATAAAGTGCAAATGACATCAAGTTCTTGGAAGTATCTTTGTCCTATGTGAAATAGATAGAAATTACATGGCCCAGATGTTATTTTATGATGAGAAACCAAATACTTTCCCTTAATTTCTCATATATCTAAACCTTAATTCCTTTAACTTTTTGATTATATTTACTTTATACTAGCAACTTACTCTCGCTCCGCTCAGATTCGTCCCTAGTTACGTTTTAACGTTTAGTATAGATTTCTCAGAGGTGAGATATTTTCCCGCAGTAAAAAGTAACCTATATGCTGACCCAGATAACTTGTTATCATCGTACCAAATTTTATCAAAATCTGTCTAGTAGTTTTCGCGTGTTTCGGTCACAGGCTGACTAAAACTCTAAAAACTATAGATTGGACCTCTATATCGATAATAACGGCTATTCCAATAAGATTTTCGATAAAATATTTAATGTACAGATTCAACTCAAAATTCAAGTAACACTTTGTCAATTTTTTATTACTTTTACTCTATCAGTTTTGTGAACCATTATCATTGTTCTGTTTAGGTTTGACACACCTTTGTGTATATAAACAAATATTTTATACACTAACACCTTTACTCACAACTGTATAATATCTATCATTATGCGAACAATAGATGCTCTTAGTGTGTGCATTCATAATCTTTAAATAGTAAAAAGCGGGTGATTTTGAGAGCAAGTGTCAAGGTTGTAATAAATGTAACTGTAGATTAAAAACTGTCACTGAGCAGCCCAGTTTTTGACTGATATTACCTGCCCTGTGAGAGGTAGTAAGTTCGATTCTGAGAGAGAGTATTTTTCCAAATGTTTTCCAACTGAGAACTGTTACCACAAAATAAAAATATTGTATATATTATATATTTATATAGTAATTATGCAGTTCATTTTTTTCTTCTAGTACATAGCAAAGAGCATCTTGTTGATTACCAAGATGTAAAATATTTCAGTTAAAGTTCATAGTCATATATTATATATTTATACAAGCACTTTTGAAATGCTAAACGAACTTTTTAGGCAAATGCATTACACCCAAGTCCTTTTTTTTAATGTTGGGAAATGCATTTACGCATACTACCTATAAACATATGGAATACAAACAATATGGAATACAAAAGAGTATGTGCAATGATATAATCATTGATTTTATATGTAATGAGCAATAACACTACAGCTTAAAAAAAATTAAGGGTAATCTTAGAAAAAAAATAGAAAATACTCATATCACTGTTGCAAGCCATATAGACAAGTTACACAGATTAGTTTTTCATTTACAATTTTACATTCTCAATTGAAATTCATTTCAATTTAACCTTTTCTCACCATAACTCAAGCGATGCTTCCAAGCCTCATAGGGCCAACCGCCAAAAACCGCTACATTTGGAAAAAATAGAGGTTATTTACAAGTTTTCCAATAATAATCTTTTTTTTAACTGCTCAACATCTAAAACCCGTAAGACTGTGCTTTGTTATGACCGCTTAATTTGTAGTACCCATTATTCTCCATGTGCAACTTTCAACAAAGTTTTGATGAATATCTGCCCATATCAAATGTTATACTAAGGTCATTACAACCATCTTAAAACATCAATTAACAAGCGAAAGTAAGGTACTTTACTAGAGAAACTTAACATTCATATGTATAATTTAATAATTGAAAGCTGAAATTAGTAATTCACTTTTATATACTCATCTCAATGAAATTAATTATTTAGTATTCATTTAAAATTTATAACTTTTTTAATATTAAAAAAATTATAATAATCTTATAAGCTCCTTAATACTCTTATAAAGACCTTTTTCACTCCTCCAGGATAATTTCTAAGAAATTATCCACTGCCGGACACGTGCCTCCCTTCAATACTAGATCAGGTCATAGTCCACCACTCTGGCCAAGTGCGGGTTGGCGGACATCACATGTATGTTTGAAAACTTTCTAGGTTCTCTCAAACATGCAGGTTTCCTCACGATGTTTTCATTCACCGTCAACACAAGTGGCAATCATGTTGGAAATTATTCGTACATGAAAATATCAGAGGTGCGAGACCCGGGATTTGAACCCGCTTCACTCGGTTTCCCAAACTAGCGCGCTACCGCTAGGCGCGCTACCCATACTAATATTATAAATGTGGAAGTTCGAGAGGCTGGATGGATGTTTGTTACTTTTTCACGCCAGAACGGCTTAACGGATCCGGATGAAATTTGGCACAGAGATTAGATTTGTTTTTGTCTAGGGACGCATCCAAGCAAAGTGAGACTAAATCGATAGTGTTAGATATTCTTGATGTTCAAATCAGTACATCCAATAAGTCTAGAAAGTCATTACCATTCAATGAGTTTACAAGAATCGTATGGACAAGATGCTCATTCACATTTGCCTACTTACAATATTACTGCCATACATATCTCGAGACCATTAGTGCGTTTCGTGACTGATCCTAAATTACTAAGAATGTTAGTTTTTGCTAAATATATCTATATATAAGGAATATTAATATTAAAAATCCTGTATGTAGCTGGCTACGAAAATGTAATTTTAACTTTAAAAATATATCTTATCAACGTCTTCACAGAAGCGTCTAATCTGAACATGGTTTTTCTCTAAGAAAAGAACCGAAAAATATTATGTTGCATTGTTAATGTAAGTCATTTTACACCATAAATAAATGTTGATCGTTACCGTGACTGCAAAACTCCTTTACAAATGCCATAACATAGAATATATCTGAATGTATATAGTATGAATATTACCCCAAAAAAAAATTTAAGAATTAAAAGTTAAATTATCTTAATCTGTTTTCACACGTGTCTCTGCTCGCAGAAAAAGAAACAAAAATTAAACCAATACATATAATAAAATTGTAACTAAGCCGAATCTGTATATTAAATATTTTTTGGAAAATCTTATTGAAAGAGACATTATTTTCGATACAAAGGCCGAATCTATAGTTTTTAGAATTTTTGTCTGTCTGCCTGTCTGTCTGTCTGTCTGTCACTGGAGGGATTTTGAAGAAATTTGATATGGTGATACCTGATTATCCGGGTCAACGTAAAGGATACTTTTTATCCAAATATAAAATTACAAAACTGCATGGTAAGAGTATACTAATATGTAAAACCTAAGAATTTGCTTTTTGGTCATCTGAATACATGCGGAGCCGCGGGCAATGCTAGTCTAAAATAAGTCAATAAAGCTTATCTTCTAATTTATATATGCGAAAACAAAAGTTGATTTAAAAGGAAAAAAGAGATAGTCTATGTCATTTTCATCCAAAAATATCAAAAGATCCTATATACGTCTTCGAAATATTTATTCTCCCCAAAACTAAACTAACTAATACCCCTAAGTCATAGGTCCAACGGCTTAAAATACGAATCATAAATGATTTTCCTCATTTATATTTTCGTAAACGTATACTTTTACATAACATCAAAATATATTTTAGCTGCGTGTGACTTATGCGTTCAATACAAGTGATAATCTTAAGGGTCACGTAAATAACTCATTATGAAATAATTATAATTTAACCCTTAACTAGTATCGAATATTTAATCGTAATAGCAGATCGGTACGCCGAAACTTAAATCTTTAATTTTTACCCTTTGAATATAAATAAATAAATATGTTGGGACATTAACACACAGCACCATCTAGTTCCGTGGTAAGCTACGAGACTTGTGTCATGGATACAAGATAGTTGATACACTACACACATATAAACCTAAGTATATACATATTATAAATTATAAACATCCATGACTGGAGTACAAACATTCGTGCTCATCACACAAATGAATGCCCCTAGCGGGGCTCGAACCCACGACCGCTGGCACAGGTCACTACAAACTGAGCCAAACTTGAACTGAGCCAAAAACCAAGCTAGTCATAAATTTTGTTATTATCCTCGTTTAACAAGATGGAGGCTATTTTTCCTATAGAGTATAATTTCAATAATACTTTCATTATTTAAAAGTAACAATATTTTGGCAAAATAAAACCTCATAAAGGGACACCCTGAAATTACTGTACGTTCAGAATTGCGATTATAAAAATTACTTTAAAATAAGGTTTTACATATAGTAAAACGTGCATAGCAATTATATTTAAAAAAAATCTTAAATAAGAGCTACTCGATACGTGCCAAGTTAAGGGTTAAACTGGTATACTTCCTGAGCATAAGTTTACGTAAACAGGAAGGATCCATTTTAAATAAATAATGATTATTTAATCAACGTTTGTAGTATTCCGCGTAGTTTACATGCAAGGTGCTATGAAAAGAAAATACAAAAACTTGGATACGGCAATTAATATTTTTTGTAACTGTTTGATACCTAGTAGTATATTAAAAAATATATTTTTATTTCAGTTTTTTTTAATATTTAAAAAAATGTATAAGAATATAATAATATTCATGTGATCTAAAAAGTAAAAAATATAAAATAACTTATTATTGTAAAATTATTAATTTTTATTTAGATAAAATGCCTTGACTTAAAAACTTGACCTAAGAGTAATTTGTTAATTAAAAAAAAATTACCTTCTCCGGTTTTAAAGAATTTATCATTTAATCACGATCCACGAAGACTAGCACAATTTTCCACTAGCATACACACACAACAGCGAAAGCAAGTTTCACACTCACTGTCTTTAATATTTCTTCATACAATCTAACAGCATATAATTTTATAAAACATTACTAACCATCTAATATGATGATAGCCTCGGAGAGCGTACCCCCGATCTTAGAGGCACAATTCATTTTGTAGTGTACATAGCCTATAAATACGCGTCGCTTGCAAACTGTTGAACAGTCTTTTTTATTGCACCATCCCATCAACATCACCATGCTTAAACAATTGTTTCCTTTAGTTTTCCTAGTAGTAGTAGCAGCTAGGGATGATTTAGGTATGAAATTTATGATGAGGATATATGAAGATTGTCAAAAATCTGATGGGGTGGTGCCTTGCTTGAAGAAAAAAGCGATTGTGTTCTTCGATAGAGCAGCACGAATGGAAGCTATACCCTTAATTGATGGAGTGGATATTGTGAAGACATCAGATATGGAAGTGGTTCCTGTAAGTGAACATGAAATAGATGCGACTCTACCAAGAAATCTGGAGAGCAAGGATGAAGCTCTTAGTAGCATGTTGTGGGAAAGAATAGCCGGTTTCGCAAATTCCAGGACAATCCAACTGTCTTTACCAAAAATGACGGGAGCAGAGCTTAATAAGGAGGTTGAAGAAGGTATGAAATACTTTTAAATTATTTTTTCATTTTCATCCCTTATTTATTCAAAGGGTTAGTTATGTAGTACAATCGTAGCATACTTCCTTTGCTTTAAGTATTGATTTTCCTATTGTATTTAATAATAATCTTCTTTGATAGTCTAACATTAGGAAATTATAATTAGCTAGCGCAATTTTTGAGTTTTCCGTAACTCGTGAATATATTTTAACACTTATTTATAGAGTTTAAGTGACAAATAATGAGCATTATCTTGTATATTTATATAGTTCGATAACCTTTTAAAATTTAAAGATATCGGTATCACTTGCTTTTTGGAGAAAATAAGATTATTATAAAATTTCCCTACATTCGAAATGACTACATTTACAACTAACCTTCTAAGTTCATCCTGTTAACTGCACTTTCTCTTAAGAAAGGGACTGAAACTATCATTAAGCACCGCTATTTCGACATAAACTTAGCTACAGATGTTATTTTTCAAATTGCAATTATTACCTTTTTATCAATACTATATGTATATACTAATAACTTTTATACAAAACATAATTTGATTAATTTTAAAGACATAGAGCTTTTAATACTGTAAATCAATTATATAAGCTTCTGGTTATCAATTTATTTTGGAATATAGGAAGTTTTGTAAAATTGAAAAACTTTAACTTTTGAGTAATGCAAGCTTTTTGTAAACCAAAACATTTTAAGTCAATTAAGTAAAATTGGTATGCAATGAAATATTTAATCGACTCGCGAGCCAACCCCGTAAATTTTGGCGTAGCAGTTAGAGCTTACAATATACATATAATGAAAACTTATGAATGTATGCAATTTTCACTTTTCTATTGTATCAAAATTTCCATTTTTGGTAGTGGAGCATCCAAAGATGTTAAAAATCTATATTAAAAGGTGTTATTGTTTAGAAATATGCATTTTCGTTATTTTGCAAAATAAGCTCAATATCAATCAAAATGCCTTTTTGATAGTCCTTGACAAAAAAATTAAGGCATTAGAGTAAATATTTGGATTATTATTGCCACAAACTAAGTAATTTTAATTCGTTATCGCATTACTTGCAGAAATAGTTTTACTTTGAACGTAGTTTATGTAAAATCGTATTTTTATTTAATTTTTTATACCAGGATATGAACTATCCTCTCCCGTTGTTGACAAAAAACTTAAATAAATAAGCTATCATAGGATAAATAAAAGCATCATTTTATAAATTTTGTGCAGATGAAATACAATAATTGTATATACAAATCTCATAAATTGATACGAATGTGTTTTGTATATATTTTTGATATCTATCTAATAAAGGAAATGTGTTTAATTTAACTAAAGTATAAGTAAATTATCGTAAAATTTTGAAACCGGCACTCAATGATCAATGGATTTCTAATCAATTTATATCTTTTTGGGCTCCATATTATCAAGAGCAAAACTTTTTTCTTAAATACATTACGAAATAGCACAAATAAATTTTAGGTTTCTTATACAACTTTTTTTACAAATTCAACTCAAATTACACTTTACTGTACAATATACACTGTAGTCTCTTAGTCATAATAATCATAACACGAGATAGTCACAGAACTATCATTGAAGAACATTAAGATGGAGAAAGGCATTTACAGAATAAAAATGGTAATTGTTATTGTTGGATGCTTTCCAATAATAGCCATGAAGGCGTGAGAACTTTGACCTTACCTATAAATAAAAAAAAATTGACTTGCCCTCAAAATCTAAAGGTCTCATTAATATTATATAAAGACTAGCGACACACCCTCGCTTCACTAGGCACGTAGGGTATAATTAAAAAATAATAATAGACAAATTATTGTCTATTGTCGTCTAAATTAAAATTTTAATCATGGTCACGGGAAAGATCGTCCCTCACATGGTCCGTTCTTGGAAAATATCAAAACGATAGTTTTATTTAAAGTGTCTACATTCACGTAAATCTAAGAAAGTTTTTAGTCTATTTTAAATACTTTTTACAAGCTAAATTATAATGTAAATAAAAAATGTCACAAGGAAACGATTAAACATACCTAATGTTCTTTCTTAAAATTGCGTGCCATGGCTCATTTTACTGACAGAAACAGTAGTAACGAATAGTAAATGTCGGAACTTCTTTAAATGTATATTTGATCATTATCTAAAGACATGCACAAAATTATGCACGCAAAGGATTCATACCAGGAATAATGTAGACCAATCATGCGAAAAGAATATTATGGAAATTAAATTTTAGTACAATGAGATTGACTATAAACAAAAAAAATGACATTAGAAACTATTCAATTTATTGTAGAGTAGGTAAGAATCAAATGTAATAGAGCAATATAATAGAATACAAGGAAGCTACCATACGCTCAGAATACAGTTTTGCAGAGAAAAGTATTTAGTCCCTTTTTTTAAGTCCCACTGCTGGGCACGGGTCTCTCTTCAATACGAATTAAAGGACAGGTCATATGGCCTGATTGTCCCCCTAGTTTGCCTCGCTAGGTCCAATGCAATGGCCTGATTGATCCCCTTATTTCTTAGCGTGGTGGCCTCCACCACACTCGCCAGGGCAGATTTGCAGACTTCACATCTCTTTTGAAAGATTAGTTTTCTCGTATAGTGCGAATCCCTGGATTTTTACCCACTACACTCGATTTCCCAAGCGAGCATATTACCTAGGCTACCATTGCATCAATTTTTTTAAGTAATTAAAAGTATTGACATCGATTTGATTAAATGCAGTTCCTGTTGCAACAAAATGGATGTGTAACAAAATATTCAATATGACACGAAAAATGATTTCAGGTCGAGGAAAGATGAAGAAAATGATGGGGATGATGATGATGGGCGGAGCAATGAAAATGGCAATGATGATCCCGCTTGCTATGGCAGGTCTCTTCGTTTTGGCTGGAAAGGCGTTGATAGTTTCTAAGGTAACGAAACATTAATTACAAAGCTAAATTAGTCTGAAATAATAATATATTCACTATCTATTATTATTTAATCAGATTAATGATGATAGTTCTAGATGATGAAACTTCTTAATTTCAAAACTTATAAGTAACTAATTGGTAGTAAAAAAAACTTTAACGAATGAAAATAAATATTAAATGAACTTTAACATATTTTTGAACAAAATTTAATACAAAATATTAGGAAAATTAATCAAGCAAATATTGAATTTATTAGTGGTTAGTGAAATGAACTGCATATTGTTACTCCACTAAGGGGTAAAACACGTATGAATATTTCAAATTAATTTCGAATTTAATTCCTACCTATTAAACTAACTACGAGTAGATTATACGAAGCATTTTAGCTTTCTTTGAACAAGTAGGACGATGCAATGATAATGGCTCGGAGAATGGCTACGAATATTTTAGCCTTTACGTTAAGAGAATGGAATGAGGATAAAGAGTGCACCAAATTTGACATATTAAAAATAACGATCATATACTAAAAATATACCTAAAACTATTTTTCGGACCTATAGTATTGAAATCATCCATATTAATAATATATGTTAATAGCTTTGCCTGTCTGATTGTTAATTTCATACGCTTAGCGGCTCAACAGATTTTGATGAAATATGGCAAGAATATACTCGTAGATTACATCATGGGGATGCTTTTAGTGACGAACAGTATATATTTCATTTTTAATAAATAATAATTTTAAATGAAACTATTTTTTTCGATTTTTTTGCGGATTTATTTTGAATTTTGGTTCCCGACGTTTCGAATTTACAATAATAATGGGCACGGCAGAGACTAAGGTTTTAAGTGTATCAAAGGATATTTATATTACAATAACTTCTATTATACGAACAAGTGTATTTCTACCATTGTAAACGTAACATAGCGTCATAGTGGCATATTAAGTGACAAAGCTCTTTAAACAGAATTCAAAAAAAAACAAGAAAAAAACAACAAGTGCAAACTTCTAGTAATGAAACAAATATTAGTATTGTACTGCACTCTACATTTTCTATTATTGTCTGAATGATTACTCTAAATCCATGCATCGTTATGAAAATGCACAATTACGGATTTAATTGTCCCATGCGGATCTAGTTTCCTCTTTTGTTGGACGTGGGAATTATACTGTTACATTGTCTGTCATATACTACGCTTACTGATTTGTGTCAAGATGACAGTGTAAAACGTGAGAATGACGTGACGTCGATTAGAGTTAGTTATGATTTCACCTACTTTTTAAAAAAGAAGTGCTTTGTTATACAATTAGATAAAGTCTATACTATTGATAGATTAGGGCAGTTTTTTAAATAATATAGTTGAATTTTGTATGTAGAAATACCAAACTTAAAGCTTACATAAAAGCTTTAAGTCTGGGGTTTCTAGAGGATACTAGTCATTCTTCAATTCTTTATCTATTATCTGCTTCAAATTACCTAGTGTAACTATGGAACCTGTGACATTCTATCTAATAGCAAAAGCTCTTATCATTATTATTTATATAATAAATAATAGTCAACCTTTTTAAACGATCCCATGCTACGTACGAGATCCCCTAAATGCGAGGGGTATAATCTCATAGTCCACCACGCTATATGCGGGCTGGCATTTAACACGTCGTTGTAAAACTACTTAGGCTCTTTACATTCACTATTATAATAAATACGTAATATTATTATCAACAAATGTTTTAAATCTTGTAATTTTTAATTACTATCAGTTATATTTTTTAATCAACAGAACTTGCGGCTTTGCTCGCGCTAAAACTACAAAATATCTCTAAAAAGGTAGTTTCATACAAACTTTCATCCCCTATAGGATGAATTTCCAAAAATGTTAATACACATGTTTATTTAATTTTATTGAAGAACATTAATACTAAGTTTCAAGTAATTCTGATCATAAATATTTTTTTGGATTGTATTACAACGTGTTTGCCCATGGGAATTAGATAATCTCCCGCAGTAAAGAGTAGCCTATGTCATTCTTCAGCCCTCCAACTCCAGCTGTGGAGATACCACACAAAAAATCACGCCAATCCCTCACTCCGTTTTGACGTGAAAGAAGGACAAACAAACAAACAAATAAACAAACACACTTTCACATTTATAATATTAGTATGGATATGTGATGCCCCTCGTATTGAAGGAGGGCCCATGCTCAGCAGTGGGACGTTAAAAAAGGGCTGAATACAAATTTTAATAGCTGTGTAATTAAATTAGTTAAGAGTCATATATATTATAATTAACATATTGTTTCCGTCACGCTTTTCAAACAATTTCATCATTTGTTTCATAATTATTCTTTTCCATCGATGTGGTTCGCTTGTTTTTTATAAGGTATACCTTATGATTACTTTAATTGTAATGATTTTTGTTAATTTAGAAGAAAATGCTTAGATTCATCTTAATGTATTTATTACCGGCCAATCATAAATCGAATTTGTCGTTCCATATATCACCAGTCCTAACAGACAAACAGACTAACAAACAAGATTTATTTAAAAACAAATAATATTTTACGGGTTTTTTATCATTATCGTTTTACGCTTGCCATTGCGTTATATTGACAATAAATAAGTGGTACAGTAGGAACATAGTCGGTAACTAGCTTAGAGCTCAAGTTGTGGTTAATGTCAATGTACTGAAATAGTAATGTTTGCAGAAAATATGATTATATCATATTTTTATTTAAATTTTGTACCTATATGTATTTTTTTAAAACATGTCTTTCGAAAACTCACTTGGTTCTCTCAGACAGACAGGTTTCTTCACGATGTTTTCCTTTACATCTTTTAAAAATGATTGGTAATCATACTGAAAATGATTTGTTCATGAAAATATCAGAGGTGCGAGATCCGGGATTTGAACCCATTTTACTCGGTTTCTCAAGCGAGCGCGTTACTACTGGGCTTAATTATAAAGCTGAGTTACGCGAGTCAAACTTTCCTACAATCCGTTTATTTTCGTTAATAAATATTCTTTCACTATACATTTTTAATTTAATAAATATATGTATTCCTTATAACGCGCCATTTTATTTGATATGTAACTTAACGCTGTGGATTCAAATCAGAATACATTTATTTTACCAATTTAAGTCACCTAAGTCATTTTCTAAGACGCCAATTTCTAATTTTTCTTTTTAATATTCAGAACCCTAGACTTAAATAAGTTTTTGAAACAAGTAATATGATTTGGTACCTACGTATTTTAAATAGTGAATGAATGCCCGAATGCTAGTAAACAGTAAAAGGTAGTGCTAGCAATTCTCGATCCCAAAAGGTAAATTTAGCTTTGAAACCTTAGTCCTTTAATATGTTACTCTTATTGAACTACTAAATAACTTACCTACAACGACATAGATAAGATGAGACAGTTTAACTAACAAAAATAGGTATATCTATTGATAGCGATCTCTATGCAAAAATACATCGACTCGTCACTGTGTGTAACGCACATTCATCTTTATAATCCATACTAAAATTATAAGGCGACAGAGTTTGTTTGTTTAAGCGTGCTAATCTCAGGAACTACTAATTTGATTTGACAAATTCTTTTTGCATAAGATAGCCCGTTTATTGAGGAAGGCTATAGGCTATATATCATCCCGTAAAATTGTAAGGTACAGTTCCCGTGGGATAGATTTCTTTCGGTCTAGGGACGAACCTAAAGCGAGAGTGAGTCGCTAGTATAATAATAAAGACTCCTTATTTCTAATATCTACAGTGATTTTGATATATTTTTAACTAATTAAATTCACTGTTTTTAGGTTTTTTAGTAAAAATATGCAATATTTCTTTTCTGACGGTAGTATCAGTTTACTGAATGCATTCAATTACAGGCTTCAAACCAGCCCTTCTATTTTATGTTTTGTTGTCACGATTTCTGTTCGGCATTTCTTATGAACCTCATTACATTCTATTAAAAAAATATAAGTATTGTTTATGACATGCGATACTGCTTTTTCTAACACAATTAAGTTTAACTTAGAGATCTTAAGTCTTTTATATGAATTATACTAATAACTAATCAATGTTTATATTAATGTAGTGTATTATAATATAGAATTTACTCTAATAATAAAATAAAAAAAACTATTTTATATTTAAAATAATAGTTCTATGTCCTTTAGTGTCATTTTTTACGAAATTCAAAACATCATGGCGCAAATATGGAGCCAGTACTTTTATGTGATAAGAAATTCTTAACAGCTTAAGTGGAACTTTTAAATATATACAAGAAAAAACAGGAATTGAGCCAAATTATTCAATTTGCTATATTTTTATATACAAATAAGCAAAAACAAAATATTTCAGTTCATAATTTGTTAATCAATTCTTTTACGAATTTCAAACACTAGCCGAATACAATTTACATATATTTTTTTAAAGACTATTTACCTCAAGGGAAGTTTCTATACTTTAAATAAAACTCATCTACGAGTTATTATAAATAAGGTGTATTTTTTTGTTAATTAGCCAAAATATAAATATAATACTAGCGACTTACACTCGCTTTGCTTGGGTTCGTCCCTAGGTACGTTTTAACGGTTAATATGAAATACAAATCTTTGAATTTCTCGGCTTTTCTGTACCATAATATGCATGTATTATACATATAAACCTCGAATAACTTTATCTATTGCTGAAAACTGCATTAAAATCCGTTGAGTAATTTAAAAGATCTAAGCGAACAGACAGCGGAAGCGACTTCATTATGTACTATGTAAAGATTATTATATATCAATATAAGTACTTTGTTAGTTTGACTTTCAATCACCATATTTCTAAATAACCCTAGTTGTATACTATCTACTAACTGTTTTTCTTTTGATTCTCATTTTACTAAATATTCATACTCAATTATAGAGCGATGAAAAACCAAGTCGACATCGATACGCATTACATAGTATAATATAGCATGGAGGATGCAAATAATGTTCATAGTGATTGCAATAGAGGTATATAA